GTTTCTCCATACAGGAGGCGTCTTGAAGCTGTCACTGACAACAAAGGCTTTTGTACAAAAAATAATTAGATAAATTTCAGTAAGCGTGTTCAATACTTTTTCCCTGTGCCATTCCACAGTATTACAAATAACTTCATTTCTGGACATTTATGGTTGGGTTGTTACCAACATCTGGTGAAAATTTCATGTCATTAGCACCTCTAGTTATATATTTACTGAGAAAAATGGTGACGTGTTCAATACTTTTTCCCTGTGCCATTCCACATTATTACAAATAACTTCATTTCTGGACATTTATGGTTGGGTTGTTACCAACATCTGGTGAAAATTTCATGTCATTAGCACCTCTAGTAATATATTTACTGAGAAAAATGGTGACGTGTTCAATACTTATTTTACCTGCTGTATCTCCAGCCAGAACATCAATCAACTACAAACAGTTGATTTCAGCTAAAAAGCTCCTGTCTGTCTGTTTCAGGTTAGTGGGCAACATTCAGGAAACTGTCACGTGGAAAAATGAGTCTCCGAATGGTTGACGCCGCACGTCGAGCAGCAAAAGTTCAGATTTCACTTGAGTGTTCGCTGCTTTGGACGCACCGCATGCACGGAAAACGTTCTACCGCTACCTTCTGCTTCCTTCCGCGCCGCGCTAAATGGACCTGATGCACCGCGAGACCCCTGGAGGCGCGTCCACCACAGACATTGCTTATAAACTGGCTGCTCCTGCAGCTCAAAACGCGTTCGGTGTGAACATACCATAACCAGAAGCTAAACATAACAAAAAGCTAAAAGTAGCTGAATAATCGCTAAAAGGTCAAAAGTAGCAAAATGATTGACAAAAAAGGCAAAACACTAGCTAAAAGCTAAATGCAGCAAAAGCCTAGTTAAGAGTATCAAAAGGCTAAAGCCGAAAGAAGAAGAACATTAGCTAAAGGTAAAAACAAATAGACAAAAATTAATGTAAAAGGCTAGTTAAAGTTAAAGCTATAGCTAATGCTGAATGACAGCTAAAATCTAAATAAGTAATGAATTGGCAAAAAATGAAAAATACACTGGCTAAAAGCTAAAAATAGTTGAACAGCAACCAAAAGACAGAAGCATCTGAACAATAGCTAAAAGCTCAAAGTTGCAAAAGGTTAGAAATAGAACTGCAGCTAAAGGCTAAACATGGAAAAAGCTAAAGTTTAAAGAATATAAAAAGGAAATTTGACAGAAAACAAAGAGATTTCATTTTTTTCTGTGTCAATAAAGTTAAATATTCAGAAAAGTATATAAAAACATGAATTCCAGCACAAATCTTCCAAATGAGTCGAACATTTTGTTAAATAACATCTAAAACAAAAACACTAAAAAGTGAGATTGCTGAGTCAGCGTTCAGCTCTTTAAGGTGTCTCAAATCAAAGCTTCAGTTTGACCTCCTGCAGGGCTCAGAGTCTGCAGCAGAGTCAGAACCTCCTGACGGAGCAGCAGGTGAACCTGATCATTAATTCGAGGCACGCAGTCTGAACTCTTCATCACCTCTGCAGCCGAGGAGGAGGAGGAGGAGGATGATGATGGAGTTATCTGTCAGAGAACGTGTGATTGAAGCAGCGCTGAGGACGACACATTCATCACAACATCTTTGAGTCGATGCGCAACAACATCTCAGCTCTGCAGCTCACATCCAGTCAGAACCTGTCTTCATTCTGCGCACGCACACACACACACACACACTCACAAACACGCGCGCACACACACACACACACACACACACACACACACTCACAAACACGCGCACACACACACACACACTCACAGACAGACAGAGTCAAAGCAGCAGGAGATAATGTAATGATCAGGCATGACCATCTCATCAGGTTCTGTTAGTGTAATCATGTAACGGTGACACCAACAAGACAAAAAAGAAGTGATGTGGTCATGTCGAATAGCTAACAGCAGTCAGTATCTTACCTGCAGCAGACCAACGTGCATGTCTTTTGGTTTGTGGGAGAAAAACCCAGTACAGAGAGAAAACCACTAAATACACAGAGTGAACACGTAAATTCAGAGGAGGACCTTTTTGTTGTGACGTAACACAACCCACTGCTCCACCATGCAGCCCGGAGCAGGAAGTGCTCAATGGCAAATATCCTGTATCTAAAACAACTCAAACACAAAATGTTCTCAGCAACTGAAGCTGACGTCATGAGGGATTTTCACACAAATTTACCTTCTCAGTTTTTCTTCACCTGTTTATATTTAGATGCTAGCTGAGGACAAATCATCTTTTTTGCTAGCTTGATAAAAACCAACCCTTTGTTCTACACTTTGCTTCGTACAGAGGGTCTGGACTCTCGTCTATTGAGAAGCAATTGTTTCCTGGAAGCATGGGCTCTTGAAGTTTAAAACAATTTGATCTGATTTACACAATGGCTAACGGTTGACTGCGACACATGTGCGCCAGCTTCACTGTGAAGGAGGCTAAGCTAAGAAGCTAACAGGAAATTGCGTGCACTGTAAAGAACCGTTGAGCCGAACGAGACGACTGTAAATAAGTTCTGCAGGCTTTGTCAGACAAATTTAATTTAATTTCAAAGCCTTGTCAACACAGCCTGGCTTCATTCACCTCTGCTGCCATTGCTAAACTACAAGCCGACACTGCGCTGAACATCGACACTGTTCTAAACTCCTTCTTCTGTTTACTGATTGGCCCAGGTAAAAATTCTCCTGAAGAAATCCTTGTCTAAGGGAGAAATTCCATACAGAGCAGAGAAGAAACTAGAATTGAGCGGAATTGCGTAGGAAGGCAAGGGCCAGGCTACTTTTTTGCTACAGTTTAGCAAAAATTCGATTCTAGCTCCTGTTTTGTTGATTTCAGCTTGTGTTAAAAGTTTTTGATCTTTCTTTCCTGACTTTTTTCTTTCATAAAACAATTTAAGTACATTCTTTCCGATGAAGGGGATTTCTCTAACATGACTGGTGGGTTTAAAGAGCATCTCTGTCCTGATAGGCTGAGGTGTGTTCGGGGGCGGTGTCAGAGGTCATCCAGTCGGTGGTGAACGGCGCCGACGGCTGCATCTTCTGCTTCGGACACGCCAACCTGGGTAACCATTCATCTCCGTCACACATGAACATGGGACTTAAAATATTTAACGTCATTCCTGTTGGCTCCGCCCCCTCCAGGGAAGACATACACCATGATTGGTCGGGAGTGCTCCACACAGAGTCTGGGCGTGGCACCGACGGCCATCTCCTGGCTCTTTAAGTTGATCGAGGAGCGCAGGGAGAAGTCTGGGGCTCGTTTCTCCGTCAGGGTGTCGGCGGTGGAGATCTCCGGCCGTGAGGAGATGCTCATCGACCTCCTGGCCGAACTCTCCTCCTCAGCTGGAGCCCACCAGGAGGTCTCGCTGCAGGAAGACCCTCTTTGTGGATCTCAGGTAAACAAAAAAATTCCTCTTAATGTCTGATTTCATCACTAAAGAGAAAGAAACTGACAGATTTGGTCTCTTTTTTGGAAATTTACTTTTTTCAGATTATTGCCTAGCACCAGGGGAGGGCAGCGCTAAACCAAAAAATTAGCTCCGCAATTTCTAAAGCGCTTATGAAAATATTTAGGTCCGCAACTTCAAAAGCGCTTATGCCATAGAAAAACTAGCGGAAACTAATTTTAAAGCGTAACTTCAATTTGACACTTACTAGCTGGCAATAATTCATGTACAATATATGCACAACACTGCCAACTAGTGGTGTATGAACTCTTTTACAACTTAATCCTACAACAGCTGATTGCTGGGGATGTGATTTCCTGAAACAGACCTTTGGCTCCTGGTAGCTCCAGTAAAAATTAAAAATGTTGTTGAGGATTGCTAGTTCAGTTGCTTCTTTGTCTTTTACTTTTGTTTGTTGTATATTTTTCATTAAAGAAGCATCAATAAAGTAATTTTAAAACTGTTTATTGGAAAACTGAAGCGATGCATTCTGGGTACTTGACGGATTTGATTTGTGACGGGAAATGAAAGCACGAGGTACAGGAAACTATCTTCACTTCAAAATAAGAGCTTGGATTTTAAAGTTTTCCATGTAGTTTCTCCAGTTGACCACTAGATGTCAGTCTTCATCAGCATAACATCTTTAAATCATTTCTAACCCCGTTGGCCGATTGCTTCGACCAATTAGGTCAAGTATTGAGCTCCAGCGTTTAAACTTTATTAATTTTTTTATAAAAGGAGCTCCGATTGTAAAGTAAGAAAAATCAATACATACAAAATTTTAGTGTGGATTACAAATGATAACTGTTTTTGCTATTGCCTTCCTGCTACGTAAGCAGATACAAAGCATTTTGGGAAATCAGAACCGTGACCGAAATAAACAGTCAGGAAGGATGTATACCTTCACAATAAGTGTGTTTATCTGGGAGGGGTGCTGTTGGATAGATCACATGTGTTGTGATTCATTGACAGACATACCTTCTGCTGTTCAAGATAAAGATGACTGGTAGATAATTAGTTATTAACGGTACTGCATTATAATTTTAGAAAGCACAAATCCGCTTATGAATTATAAAAATTAGTAAGACCACTAAAGCGCAAGCGAAGATTTTAGGTCTGCAATTAGCGGATTTGCGCTTTAGTGGGCTGGTGCCCACCACTGCCTAACACGAAAACACAAGTAGTAGAATCAACAACAGAAACTTCAAACTCCTTAAAACTGCATCAATCTGCTGAAACCCAACAGTAATGTCTGAACTTTTTCTGTAGGTACTGTACAACAGAGCCAGACTTTTATTTTGAAGGGCAACTGAGAGCTTTATTTGAGGTAAAACCTTCATTAATTTCTCCTCGACCTGAAACTTCTTGTCAGGACAAAATTGTGGCCGTGATAACACCCTGTGAATAATCCACTCAATCTGCTGAGTCGCCGTGGTGATTCCCGCCTTTTCTGCTGAACCGAGGAGCAACGATTTTCATCAAATACAGAGAAACTGGTTCTCAAACTGCTTCTGCTACAGAAGTAAAATATGGTGAAAAAAGGCAACCTGATTTCTTTTTTTGTTTTGTTTGTTTTCCTGGAAAGTTTCCTAATGATGAAAGTTTCAGGAACTGTCACGATGACAATGTTTTCTGCAGACTCTCCTTTTAAACGTCCTCTCCTCGTTTCCTTCCCTTCACCTCTTCCTCTCTGTGACCTCCTCTTCACCTCCTGGGATTTCATCACTTTCTCCAGCTGTCCAATTAGTCTTGATCTTCTTCTTGTTCGTATTCAGTCTGTTTTATCTCCCCGGGCTCCTCCAGTCTGCCACTTTTTATCTCCTCTCACTTTAATTTTCCTTCTTCTGTCACCCAACTTTTCTCGTCCTTATTTTATCAAACCCCATTCTGTCTTTTACCTTTCATCTCTCTCCGGTTTACCTCTGCGAGGCAGAGGAAGGAGGGAAGAAGCAGACAGTTTTGGTCCTGTGTTACAGATGTGATGCATCATTTTAACCTAAATTCAAATAAAGTCAGCAGTTCTTTTGAAAGTGTGCAAATATTTGTCCAAATCAGAACTGCCTCTAATTTTCTCCCTTTTTTTTAGGGTTTTACTGAAATGTGAACAAATGTAGACAAAAGAAGAAGGGAGCATCACAGGAGCTGATTTCTGATCCATTAAAGTTCAGTTTCTTTCTCTTCTCATCAGCTCCAGAACCAGACGGAGCTCCGGGTCACCTGCGCTGAGCGGGCAGCGTTCTTCCTGGATGCCGCTCTGGTAGAGAGACGGAGCAACCGAAGGCCCAACGACCAGGAAGCCCGACGGAACTCGCACTTCCTGTTCACGCTGCACCTGTACCAGGAGAGGCCGGACAAGAGCAGCAAGGCAACAAGTTGGTGTCTCAGGGTTCAGAGACTATTGTAATAAGAAATTTATCCCAGCTTTTATTATGTTTTTTTTTGTCTATTTCTGACCGTGAAAGTATGATAGGACATAATAGCAGAAATAAATAAATAGACCAGTAAATAAATAAATACACTTATGCACCAATTAAATTAAAAAAGGAGAACTTTACCTCATGTTTTACCTGTGTCTTTGTTTTAAACCAAACAATAAACTGTTAGCTAAACTGAGGCAGCAGCAGCACAGTAGATCTGCACACGGATCCTGCTCCTTCCTGTCTGTTGACCAATAGGAGAGGAGCTTACCCGAGAAGCTCCTCCCACATTATTTACATAATGAGGCAGAAATGCATAAGGTGAGTAAAAACAGGAGGCAGAGAAATGTAAAAGCAACACATGGAAATGAAAAGACTTGTGAGAAAAATCTAAAAAATAATTAAATATAATTTAAGAGATACAAATG